CTCACGCCCACGCACACACACACACACTCTCACTCACACTCACTCACTCACACACACTCTCACTCACACTCACACACTCTCACACTCTCACACTCTCTCACTCTCACACTCTCTCACACTCTCACACTCTCACACTCTCACACACTCACACTCACACACTCACACTCTCTCACACACACTCACACTCTCTCACTCACACCCTCTCTCACTCACACACTCTCTCACTCACACTCTCTCACTCACACTCACACTCTCTCACTCACACTCACACTCTCTCACTCACACTCACACTCTCTCACTCACACTCACACTCTCTCACTCACACTCACACTCTCTCACTCACACTCACACTCTCTCACTCACACTCACACTCTCTCACTCACACTCACACTCTCTCACTCACACTCACACTCTCTCACTCACACTCACACTCTCTCACTCACACTCACACTCTCTCACTCACACTCACACTCTCTCACTCACACTCACACTCTCTCACTCACACTCACACTCTCTCACTCACACTCACACTCTCTCACTCACACTCACACTCACACACTCACACACTCACTCACACACAGATGTCTGTAGTCGTACCCTGTGCAGGTTTCCATCCAGTATGAATTCTGCTCGGACTCCGTTGTTCTCCGGGCTGCGGTAGTCGAACAGCGAGTTGGTCAGATACGTCATGCCCTTAACGCTCAGCGTGTCTCCGCAGCGGAAGAACACGGCATCCTGCGGTAGCAAAAATGCACTCAACATCACCACACAATGAGGATGGATGCACGTGTGTGTGTGTCTGTGTGTGTACTGTGTATTTGTGTGTGTGAGTGAGTGTGTATATATGTGTGTGATTGAGTGTATATATGTGTGTGTGTGTGTGTGTGTGTATTACCTCCTCTCTTCTGTTCCTGTTCTCTTCAAAATCACGAACCCCCATAATGCCCTTCAGACACACAGCACGACAGCCCACGACTCCAACCTGACAGTCGAAGAAGGGCTCGCCCATCATCAGCGCCTGGAACACACGAGCAGACGTCAGTGATGCAGGAGGAGGTCTGGGAGCTAGCGACGGACTCCAGTGTTTCCCTCACCTCCACCGTGATTCCCTCCTGCTCCACACTGAGGACCTCACGAGACTTCAGCTTCTGTGGACTGTAGTAACTGCTCTCAGAGCAGCTCTCTGTCAGCTACACAGACCAGACAACACAGACTCATGAAAACTACACTGATTCAATCAATAACAGTCTCAAGAAACTGGGATGCCATACATTGTTTTCCAATATATGCTAGGAACTTTCCCAGTTTATCCCGCACTCATAAATCCAGTCTAAGACCATCTAAAGAAGCTCTAATCGCTTGAAGCTTTTCTAGTAAGTCTGCTGATGGAGAACTATTATATACTTTATACATCTCCAATGCCACAGGCTCCACAGCTCAAGATTCACCATTCTTTAAAGTTTTTCAAATATCAAATAATTACAGGGGTTAAAGCAAAAATAATCTTGAGCCTGAACTTTTTTCCGGGGGTTGGGGGGGCGGACACATACACAGGGTTACTTGGCCAAAAAAAAAAAAAAAAAAGACCATTATTTGAAAATGATTTTCCTTGAAACTAACTAGTAACATATCTGCCCTTGCTGTAGCCCTTGACAGGTTCAGACTACAGATTATGGTGGATATCTGAAACAGCAATACCAGGAAAGGTTACTCACTATAATGCAAACACATGTAACATTTAGATGCTTCTGATATCAAGTTGACCTACAATCAAGAAATAATAGTAAATTAAATACTATGAAATTAATATAAAATAGGAAATATACAAAGACAGTTTACTACAGAAAACTACAGTTCAGTTCAATTAACAACAACAGAAACATTAAAATGGTCCAAGAACTGGTAACTTAAACAGGGTTCGTACAGACACTGCAAAATACAATTCCAGGACTTTCAAGGACTTTCCAAGCACTACTTAAAAAAATATTGTTATTGTCTTTCGAATTCTAATATATAAACTAATAAAACAAATGGTACAAATAAAGTGCAGCACACGCAAAGAATGCAATGACTGGCAACTTTAACATCTGAAAGGATACTGTGGCAAAGTTATCGCTTTCCTCATTCAAACTGATTTATTTTCCACGAGTATATGATTGACCTGAAGAATGAAAGCTAGGCTATATCATACACTT